GAGTAACAGCCGTGTTAGTCTGTATTCGCAAAAAGAAAAGGAGGACTTGTGGCACCTTAGAGACTAACCAATTTATTTGAGCATGAGCTTTCGTGAGCTACAGCTCACTTCATCGGATGCATACCGTGGAAACTGCAGCAGACTTTATATACACACAGAGAATATGAAACAATACCTCCTCCCACCCCACTGTCCTGCTGGTAATAGCTTATCTAAAGTGATAATCAAGTTGGGCCATTTCCTGCACTTGATTATCATGCACATTGTGTAAAGAGTTGTCACTTTGGATGGGCTATCACTAGCAGGAGAGTGAATTTGTGTGGGGGGGTGGAGGGTGAGAAAACCTGGATTTGTGCTGGAAATGGCCCAACCTGATGATCACTTTAGATAAGCTATTACCAGCAGAACAGTGGGGTGGGAGGAGGTATTGTTTCATATTCTCTGTGTGTATATAAAGTCTGCTGCAGTTTCCACAGTATGCATCCGATGAAGTGAGCTGTAGCTCACAAAAGCTCATGCTCAAATAAATTGGTTAGTCTCTAAGGTGCCACAAGTACTCCTTTTCTTTTTGTTTTTTCCAGAGCATTGCATGTGTCACCATGACAGGGGGCTGAAGCTGGAGTCAGGGCTCTCAGCTGACATCTGATCAAGGAGTCAGACGGATGGGGAGACAGAACTTGCACAGTGGGGTTCACTACAGCTTGGCTGGGCTCTGGCTAACCAGATTAGACTGTGTTTTACCCTTCAGTTCTCTGTGCCAACTGAGGGCTGGCCTGTGCTGTGTGTCCAGTGACTAATAAAGCTGACTGTTTGGACAATACAGTACATCAATCCCTGCAGAGTGAACAAGTCTCCATCAGGGTCTGTCTCAGTGGGACTCGCTGACTGGAGCTCAGAGGATGAAGCAGAGGGGCTGCAGACCCAGAGGTCCGGTTGAAGGAGGCAGTGAAGCCGCATGGCTAACAAGGAGGAAGAGTGAGACCCCTAGGGAGTCTGACACGCTGAAGAGTTCCTCTCAGAGACTGTTCCAAAGCTGAGGACATAGTGCTGGTGTCACAGAGCCACTGGGCGATGGTCTGGAACTACTCCATACGAAGCCAGTCAGGACTCTGGGGGAGCATGCCTCCTCTGACGATACTGTCTCCAGAGCAAGAAGCTCACACAGCTTCGACCTTCCTGGCTCTGACCTCGGAGCATTCAGCATCCCCTTCCACACTGTGTGCTTCCTGAAGCGAGTCCGCCCAGGCAGGGCTCCTGGGGAAGCCAGAGGGCCCTGCACCCCAACTCCAAAGTCAGATGGGACTCTCAGCCAGCCGGTAAAACAGAAGGTTTATTAGTCTACAGGAATGCAGCACAGAACAGAGCTTGCTAGCACAAGCTGAGTTACTACAGAAAATTCTTTCCTGGATATCTGGCTGGTGAGTCTTGCCCATATGCTCAGGGTTTAGCTGATCGCCATATTTGGGGTTGGGAAGGAATTTTCCTCCAGGGCAGATTGGAAGAGGCCCTGGAGGTTTTTCGCCTTCCTCTGTAGCATGGGGCATGGGTCAATTGCTGGAGGATTCTCTGCTCCTTGAAGTCTTTAAACCACGATTTGAAGACTTCAATAGCTCAGACATAGGTGAGAGGTTTTTCGCAGGAGTGGGTGGGTGAAATTCTGTGGCCTGAGTTGTGCAGGAGGTCGGACTAGATGATCATAATGGTCCCTTCTGTCCTTAGTATCTATGAATCTAAAATCAGTGATTTTCAGCCAAATCCATCTTGGGAGGACCCTCCCCCTGTGCCCCAAGCCATCCAAAATTGACTTGCTTCCAGCTGCCTGGCCCCTGCCCTGCCCATTGCTCCTCCTCCGGCCTTTGTCTCGCTTCCTGGTCCAAGAGTCACCTGGTTGCATCCCTGTCATAAATATACAGCTAAGGGTAGCATAATATCCCTCCTTACCTGTAAAGGGTTAAGAAGCTCAGATAACCTGGTTGGCACCTGACCAAAAGGACCAATGGGGAAAGAAGATACTTTCAAATCTGGGAGGTGGGGGGGAGAAAGGCTTTTGTTTGGTGCTTTGTGGGTGTGTTCTCCCCAGAGACAAAGGGAGAAACCAAGCAAGTAATCCAGCTCCCACTGAATATATATCTAATATTACAGAAATAATAAGTAATAACAAGGAAATTCATTAGAGTATCTTTTGTTTTAACTTGTGAATTGTCCCTGTGCTAAGGGGGAAGTTTATCCCTCTTTTTGTAACTTTAAAGTTTTGCCTGGAGGAGAAATCCTCTGTGTTTTGAATCTTTTTGTTACCCTGTAAAGTTATCTTCCATCCTGATTTTACAGAGGTTATTCTTTTATCTTTTTTTAAATAAATTCTTCTTTTAAGAACCTGATTGGTTTTTCATTGTTCTTAAGATCCAAGGGTGGGTCTGTGTTCACCTGTACCAACTGGTGAGGATATTATTCTCAAGGCTGTCCCAGGAAAGGGGGTGTAGGGCTTGGGGGAATATTTTGGGGGAATAGGACGCCAAGGGGTCCTTTCCCTGATTCTTTGTCTAAATCACTTGGTGGTGGCAACATACTGTTCAAGGACAAGGTGAAATTTGTGCCTTCGGAAAGTTTTTAACCTAAGCTGGTAAAAATAAGCTTAGGCGGTTTTGCATGCAGGTCCCCACATCTGTACCCCAGAGTTCAGAGTGGGGAAGGAACCCTGACAATCCCCATCCTGGATCTCAGGTTACAAAGGGGCAGCTGTAGCATTGGTGCAGGCAGCTGGAGCAGCCTCTGCAAAAGTCACACCCCCTTATTCCCACCACCTAGACATTGGTGCAATACACAGGGAAACTGAGACACACACAGCATTCATGCAAAACAGAAAGACTCACATTGGCTCACATACCACGTAACAAATGAAAATCCCCATGTCGTCACATCCCCACCTGATGCTGCCCCAGGCTTTTGTCTCCTTTGGTGGTGAGAGGCAGGGAAGTCCTTCTCCCTCTGGTGCAATGCTTGCTAAGTGTCAAGGTCTGGGCAATTGGATCTGCCCTTGTATTCTCAAAATTAGCACTGATATGGGACCTAAGACTGAGATAGTCAGGCGACACCCAGATCTAGGTCTTTCCATCTTCCCTGAGAGAAAACAGCCCCTTTCCACCCAGTAGGTAACAATGCCACATAGAGGGGAAACGGAGGAACAACTAGGACGCATAAAAATATTACAGAAAATTCCCACTTCATCACAACCATCTCCTGGCCCCAAGACTCTGGACTGAGGCCTTCCTGCTTCACCCCATCAGCTCTGCACAACGAGTGCAGCTGAGACAGATTCCTGGGAGAAACTTGTTCCCTCTGCCTGGACTAAGGCAGTCAAGCAGTACTGGCAGTGCTCCCAGGAAGCGGTTTCAAACAGAGGAGTGCTCTTAGTCCGGTGCAGAGTTCCTGGGCCATCCTTCAGCCAGCACCTAGACAGCAGGTTTCAGTATCATCCATGCTGGTCACGCCAGGGCAGCCCACCAGCCTCGTCTCGGGCTCTGCCTCTCTGATCCCTCAATCCCCAGAGAGACCAACCAGCCTCTTACAGAAGCCAGCTCTTTCTCCTCTCCTGGGCACAGCTCAGTCTGTTGTGGCCACAGGCGCCAACTTTTCCCTGCGCCGGTGGGTGCTCGACCCCTCCCCACCCCTGCCCCGCCCCCATCCCAACCCCTTCCCAAAATCCCTGCCCCAATCCAACCCCCTCCCTGCCCCTATTGGATTCCTTTCCCAAATCCCGGCCCCAGCCCCGCGTCTTCTCCAAGCACACCGCGTTCTCCCTCCTCCCCCCTTCCTCCCAGCACTTGCCGCCATGAAAGAGCTGTTTCGCAGTGGGAAGTGCTGGGAGCTAGGGGGAGAAGTGGGGATACGGCACACTCGGGGCGGAGGCGGAGTGGAGGTGAGCTGGGGCGGGGAGGCGGGCAGCTGCCGGTGGGTGCAGAGTTGGCGCCTATGCTCGTGGCAGGGTCACGGGCCAGCCTGGCTCTGGAGCCCCACAGGGCCCTGCCTCGCCCCAGCTGGGCGTTTGCTGCAGCTTATGGGGAAGGAGCCAAAAAACCAAGCATGAGCTGAACTGATTCAAAGGCCTAGCCAGGGGCAGCTCCTTCTGGTCTGATGGGAGGGGACATGGTGCCTCAAGCCCGTTATATACCTCCCCCCATGCGCACTGGTGCAGCCTAGCTAGGGGAGTAGTGGGCCCCATAAGAGGGCTACTTGGGACGGGCAGTCCCACAAGGGAGGCTTGCTTGGGGGCAGGGGCTGGGCAGAGCTTTCCTAGGGCTCTGGGAGTCAAGGATCAGTGTGGGCCTGCCCCACGCCCAAGCTTCCCCATCAACCTGCCACCCAGCAGTCTCTGCAAGGAGTTGGATGGGCCTGGGGCACAGTCAGGGGAGGAGAAGAAGGGCCCCTCACCACAGGGCTCAACCTGTGCTCATGGGAGAAGAGTCCCTGTTGTGGGGGCACAGCCCCCAGGGCGTGGCTGAACTGGGCTAGTGCAGGTCCCTGGGGTGGGTGGTGCAGACTTCAGGGCTGGGGGAGGCCCCTGGGGCAGGAAAGCAGACCTCAGAGCTCAGCTGGGCTGGGGGAGCCCCTGGGGTGGAGGGCTCAGACCCCAGGGCTGGGCTGGGCTGGGCTGGGGGAGCCCCTGGAGCAGGGGAAGCAGACCCCAGGGTTCAGCTGGACTGGGGGAGCCCCTGGGGTGGGGGGCACAGACCACAGTGCTCGGCTGAGCGGGGGGAGGCCCCTGGGGCGGATGGTGCAGACACCAGGGCTCGGCTGGGCTGGGGGAGGCTCATGGGGTGGAAGGCACAGACCCCAGGTTGAGGGCGGGTGCCCTGGCTGGGGCTGTCTCTGTGTGAGTGGGAGGCATGTCCCTGAGCGCAGCTGGGGCCCGGGTGTATGAGTGCTGCACCTGGCGCTGCCCAGCATCCATAGCAACAGCCTGGCAACCTGCTCTGGCTTCCCAAACAAGAAGCAGAGCTGAGCTGAGCTGAGCTGCATCCAGTCTCGGCACTGCCCCTTGGGGAGTCATGGGGCCACGTGGGCACCAGTCCTTCCTGCTGCTCCTGGCCCTCTGTGCCACAGGTAGGCAGCTCGGTACCCAGTGATGGGCCACCCACCCAGTAACAGGGAGAATCCACCTGCCAGCCTCCCTTACCAGGGTGCTGAGGGAAGGCAGAGAGCATGGCTCTGCCCCAGGGAGCCAGCGCAGCCAAAACCCTGTGTCACTGGCAGCCCTCCCGCCCCAAGGAGCCAGCACCGCTTGAGCCCCATGGCAGCAGCAGTCCCCCACCCCAGGGAGCCAGCGCAGCCAATGTCCCATTGCATCGACAGGGTCTCCCCAGGGTGCAGTCAGTGTTGAGGAGGTGCCCACCCAGGGAGGTGTGCCAGGGGCTGGGAGCAGCTGCAAGTCTTGGCTGGCCAGTGATGGGCACGACCCATCCCAGATAACAGTGTCTCCTTCTGCTTCCAGGGGCCTTCGTCAGTGCCACAGGTAAGAACTGAGTGGCCAGGAACTGCCACCAGCAGCCCTAGTGCCCGGCTTGCCCAGGCATGTGCCCAGGTGTGTGTGCAGGGGGGGGTGTGCGTGCGCCCACCCAGGTGTGTGTGTGTGTCCCCGCGGGGGTGCCCATGTGCATGTATGCCAGGTTTACGCTCCCCCTCCCTTCTCCACCCACTCAGACAGTGCTCCCCCTCCATACCCTTGGACAGCGCTCCCACTCTCCCTCAGACTGCACTCCCCCTCCCCACCCACCCCTGGACAGTGTTCCCCCTCTACCTCCGCCCCCTCGGACAGCACTCCCCTTCCATCTCCACCCCCAGAACAGTGCTCCCCCTCCACCCCATCGGACAGCGCGCCCCCTCTCCCTCCGTCTCCTCAGACAGTGCTCCCCCTCCTCCTCCATACCCTCGGACAGCGCTCCCCCCTCCCTCGGACTGCACTCCCCTCCCCCTCCCACCCCTGGACAGTGCTTCCTCTCTACCTCTATCCCCTGGGTCAGTGCTCCCCTTCCACCTCTGCCCCCTCAGACATCTGCCCCCTCAGGTGGCGCTCCTCCTCCACCTCCAATCCCTCAGCCTACACTCCCCCTCTTCCTCAGCTCTCTGGGACAGAGCTCCACCTCCCTGTTCACCCCCTCAGACAGAACTCCCCCACTCCCTCCATTCCCCTGTACAGTGCTCCACTTCCATGCCCCTCAGACAGTGCTCCGTCTTCCCTCCGCCAACCTCGGACAGCACTCCCTGTCTGTCACAGAGTCCACGGGTGATGCTCTGGAACTACTCCATATGAAGCCAGCCAGGACTCTGGGGGAGCCTCCTCTCTCTGAGCAAACTGTCTTCAGGGCAAGAAGTTTATCCAGCTTCCACCTTCCTGGGTCTGACCTCGGAGCATTCAGCATCCCCTTCCACACCGTGCGCTTCCCGCAGTGAGTCTGCCTAGGTGGGGCTCCTGGGGAAGCCAGAGGGCCCTGCTCCCCAACTCCGCAGTCAGATGTGACTCTTGGCCAGCTGGTAAAATGGAAGGTTTATTAGTCGACAGGCACACAGTGTAGAACAGAACCTGTTAGCACAGAAATCAGTGACTTTCAGCCAAATCCATCTTGGGCGGGAGGGGAGCCCAGAGACAGGGCTCTGATCCTCCCCCTGTGCCCCAAGCCATCCAAAACTGACTTGCTTCCAGCTGCCTGGCCCCTGCCCTGCCTGTTGCTCCTCCTCCGGCCTTTGTCTTGCTTCCCCGGCCAAGAGTCACCTGGTCGTATCCCCCTCCTGGGTCTCTGGTTGTGAAGGGGTGGCCATAGCATCCATGGCCAGGAGCATCCCCCGCAAAAAGTCACACACCCTTATTCCCACCACCTAAACATTGGTGCAATGCACAGGGAAACTGAGGCATACACAGCATTCATGCAAAACAGTAAGACTCACATATAACATAACAAGGGAGAATCTCCACTTCGTCACACCCTCTCCCTCCGCCACCTGGTCAGTGCTCCCCCTACCCTCCGCCCCCTCGGACAGCACTTCCCATCTCCCTCCACCCCCCTAGACAGCAATCTCTGTCCCTGCCTCTGGACAGCGCTCCTCTTTTCCCTTGGCCACCTCTGTAATGATGCTGCCCTTGATGGGACACAACTGAGAGTACCAATTCAGAACAAATTGTTTAGAGCAGGGCAGTTACAGCCCAAGGCTGGAGTTCTTTTGAATACCAAGGCAAACCAAACCAGCGAAACAGAGAACACTTTGGTTTTACCCCACTGGCTAACTATAAGTCATACAAGCAATTCCCTTAGACACCCCAGTTTCCCAGTATGACCACCAGTGCCACTCGTTATGGGGCTGAATGGTTATGAAAACCAATATCCCAGAAAAAGAAAAAAGGTTCTCCCGATCCCAAAGGACCAAGCCCCAGATCCAGGTAAAATGATAACTTAGATCTTACCCAAAATACACACTTATAGACAATACTTATTAACTAAACTAAAATTTATTAAAAAAGAAAAGAGAGAAAGTTGGTTGAAAGATCAATATACATACAGATTTGAGTTCAATTTCTTGAGGTCCAGATACATAGCAGAGATTGTGAGTTTATAGTTGCCAAATGTTCCTTTAGAAATAGTCCATAGGTTATAGTCCAATGTCCATATTCAGGGCGACTCCAGTTAGTGACTGGGGATCCCAATTCTTATGGCTTAGGGTTTCCCCTTCTTGAAACCCAAAGCAGATCTGAGATGAAGATGGATCATGTCCCAGGGTTTTTATACATTTCCAGCAGCCTTTTGGCCTGAGAAAACAATAGGCTTAACTTTCCTTCTCCCAAACATCATGGCGATTAGCATAGGGTAATTTATCCATTAAACAGTTCAGATACAGGTTACCACAACCTTCAAAGAGACATATAGACAATAATACTATTTCACTCAAGTGTCTTCCTAAATACTAATACTTCTTTTTTTTTTTAATCTTTGAATCAAAGCCATAGTAATAGACAAGACTTGTTTGCTAACACCACAAGACCTGAGCAAACAGTTACCCTTCTATCTCTAACAATGCAGGCTTGCATTTCAAAACTCTATTCATTTCCATATCTTCATAGAATCATAGAATATCAGGGTTTGAAGGGACCTCAGGAGGTCATCTAGTCCAACCCCCTGCTCAAAGCAGGACCAATCCCCAACTAAATCATCCCAGCCAAGGCTTTGTCAAGCCTGACCTTAAAAACCTCTAAGGAAGGAGATTCCACCACCACCTTAGGTAACGCATTCCATTGCTTCACCACCCTCCTAGTGAAAAAGGTTTTCCTAATATTCAACCTAAACCTCCCCCACTGCAACTTGAGACCATTACTCCTTGTTCTGTCATCTGCTACCACTGAGAACAGTCTAGATCCATCCTCTTTGGAACCCCCTTTCAGATAGTTGAAAGCAGCTATCAAATCCCCCCTCATTCTTCTCTTCTGCAGACTAAACAATCCCAGTTCCCTCAGCCTCTCCTCATAAGTCATATGTTCCAGACCCCTAATCATTTTTGTTGCCCTTCGCTGGACTCTTTCCAATTTATCCACATCCTTCTTGTAGTGTGGGGCCCAAAACTGGACACAGTACTCCAGAAGAGGCCTCACCAATGTCGAATAGAGGGGGACGATCACGTCCCTCGATCTGCTCGCTATGCCCCTACTTATACATCCCAAAATGCCATTGGCCTTCTTGGCAACAATGGCACACTGCTGACTCATATCCAGCTTCTCGTCCACTGTAACTCCTTGGTTCTTTTCTGCAGAACTGCTGCCAAGCCATTTGGGCCCTAGTCTGTAGCAGTGCATGGGATTCTTCCGTCCTAAGTGCAGGACTCTGCACTTGTCCTTGTTGAAACTCATCAGATTTCTTTTGGCCCAGTCCTCTAATTTGTCTAGGTCCCTCTGTATCCTATCCCTACCCTCCAGCTTATCTACCTCTCCTCCCAGTTTAGTGTCATCTGCAAACTTGCTGACTGAGCAATCCATGCCATCCTCCAGATCATTAATGAAGATATTGAACAAAACCGGCCCCAGGACTGACCCTTGGGGCACTCTGCTTGATACTGGCTGCCAACTAGACATGGAGCCATTGATCACTACCCATGATCCTAACAACTCTTTAAAGTTTGGCCATGGGTCATGTCAGTCTGTGAGTTAATTAACTCTTTCTGACTCTGTGTCACCTTTCAGTGAGATGTATTACACTCATAATGTCACACCCTCCGACTGCACTCCCCCACCCCCTCCAGCCCTGTGGACAGTGTTCCCCCTCCCCTTCTGTCCCCCTCAAACTGTACTCCCCCTCTCCCTCCCTCCCCCTGACAGTGTTCCCCCCTCCCTCCGTCTTCCTGGACAGCAATCCCCCTTCCTCCCCCTGGACAGCGCTCCCTCTCTCCCTCCCTCCACCTGGACAGTGCTCCCCCTCTCCCTCTGTCCCCCTGGACAGCACTCCCCATCTCCCTCCGCTCCCCTGGACAGTGCTTCCTCTCTTCCACCACCGCCCTGGACAGTGGTCCCCATCTCACTCCGTCCCCCTGGCCCCCCCACATCCCCATACAGTGCTATCCCCTCTTCTCACTTGTCATTAACTGTACAGCCCACACAGGTGTGGGGTGGCCTGACCCAGGCCTTGTGCGCGCAGGCACCCCTGGGCACAGGTGCAGCCACCCACACCCAGCTGTCCCTGATGATCTGGGGGTTTTGTGGATCCCCGCTGTGGCGGGGGCTGGGCGGGCTTATTCCGTGCCTCTCTGTGCCAGTGCTGTCCGGCCTGCCCACCACAGTGAGCGTGATGGAGAGTGCGGGACCGGGCACGATCATCGTGGAGTTCAACCTGACCTGCCAGAACGAGACCAGCATCCCCACCCCTGTCTTCACCCTGCAGAGCACCCCCCCGACCTACTTCTTTAACCAACCCATCGTTGCCCACCGTGCCAGCCCAACTCCCCACTACAGCGTGCAGGTACGTGCTGCAGCCCACACCCCCAGGAGGACAGATCTAGGTCCCAGCCGGCGGGGCATCCCAGCCTGGCAGTGCCCTGTGGGGCCGTGCTGGCAGGCGCAGACCCCAGACACCGTCAGCACTAAGCCAGGGCAAGGCTGGCCTGGAGGCCTGTGCTCAGTAGGGGCAGTGTCTGCAATGGGAACAAAGGGCCGATGCACCGTCACCCTGCCCCCAGGGGTGTGGGAGGGGTATGTGCGCCCCCTGAGGGCGGCACATGATGCTGGGCAGTGAAGACTCAGGCACCAGGGTCCCAGGACAGCAGGCTAGCAGCAGAGCCGCAGGGAGCAGAGCCTGCACAGCGTCCACCATAGGCTCCCCATGGTGCCAAGGGGGCCCAGGGCTCTGCTCTTGGTGAGGAGCAGGCCCATTCCCTGCATGGCACCCAGGGGTGAGAGGAGGGCAAAGAGGGAGACACAAGGGGACTAGGAGGGGGCTGCGGGCTGGGTGTGAGGCTGGAGAGTCCGGAACAGGAGCCCTCGCTGCATGCGGGGTCAGGGCCGGGGAGGCATGGCCTCATTACATGCAGGGTCTAGGGCAGGGGCCCCTGTTACATGTGGGGGTGAGGGTCAGGGCCCCAATACATGTGGGGTCAGGGCCCCATTACAAGCGGGATCGGGGGTGGGGTCCCATTACATGCAGGATTGGGCAGGTGGGGCCCTGTTACATGCGGGGGCAGGGCCCTGTTACATGTGGGGATGGGACCCCTTTACATGAGAGATTGGGGGGGCAGGGCCCCATTACAATGAGAGTCAGGGAGCAGGGGCCCCCTGACATGCGGGGTCAGGGGCAGGGGTCTGTTACATGCAGGATTCTGGGCAGGGCCCCGTTACATGCCGGATTGGGGGGCAGGGCCCCATTATATGCAGGGATGGGGGCAGGACCCCGTTACATGCGGGGGCAGGGCCCAGTTATATGAGGGATTGGGGGGGCAGGGCCCCGCAGAGTCAGGGGCAGAGCCCTGTTACATGCAGGGTTGGGGGCAGGGCCTCGTTCCATGTGGGATTGGGAGGAGGCGGAGCCTCATTCTATGCAGGGTAGGGAGCAGGGCCTGCTGCATGGGGAAGGCTGGCGTAGCCTGTGCTCAGTGTCAGAGCCTGCTGAGTGCTGGGGTTTCTGTTAGATCACGCTGAGCCCCAGTGCGGCGCTGGACGCTCGGCAAGTCAATCAGTACACGCTGACCCTGGAGGCTACCTGCCCAGGGGAGACGCCTGCCAAAGGCCAGCTCTTCGTCCAGGTCCACACAGTGGATGGGCCCCCCCAGTGCATGGCCAGGTTTGCTAGCCAAGGTAAGGCCCACCCTGCACTCTCCCCTGCCCAGCCTCTGCGCTCTCCCCTGCCCAGGCCCTGCATTCTGCCCTGTCCAGCCCCAGAGCTCTGACCCAGCCAGGCCCAGTGCTCTGCCCTGCCCAGCCCCAGTGCTCTGCCCCACCCAGGCCCTGTGCTCTGCCCCACCCAGGCCCTGCACTCTTGCCTGCCCAGCGCTCTGTACCCAGTGCTGCCAGGGGAGTTGGGGATCCAGGCTGGGATGGGGAACCCTTCCAGGGCAGAGCGGGCACTTCTGGTGCTAACAGGACTCGCCTCCTGGCTCTTTCTGCTCTTGGCCAGTGGGACCCAGTGCAGAGCCAGGGGAGGTGGGTCCAGGGCTGGGGAGAGCAGCCTCTGAGCCCACTCCGCCTGACTCTGTGCTTTGCTGCAGTGGGGGAGCTGGTGCAAGTCTCAGAGGACGTGGCACCCCTGATGCCCATCTACACCGTGGTCTTGCAGCGGCCAGCTAGCGGGCTGAGGGTGAGCATGGAGCAGGGCCTGGCCTCCCATCCCCAGGCGGGTGCTATGGGATGACCCTGCACAGTCTAAGCCTAGGGAGCAGGGGTCTGACAGGGCCCAGTGGCGGGAGAGGGGCTGTGGTGGCGGGGGGCTCCGATGCGGTCCAGTGGCGCGGGAGGGGCTTTGAGGGCAGGGAAATCCACTGAGGCCCAGTGGCAGGAGAGGAGCTGTAGGGCAGGGGGATCCAACAGGGCCCAGTGGCGGGGGAGAAGCTGTGGAGGCAGGGGGGATATGATAGGGCCCAGTGGCAGCGGAGGGCTGTGAGGATGGGGAGGATCCAAGGGGCCCAGTGGTGGGGGAGGTGCTGTTCTGGACTGGGGGTCTCGGTAAGGGGGATCTGGTTCTCTGGCTCAGCCCCTCTCTCCATGGCAGTTCACCATCAAAGACAATGACACACCCCTCACCATCGACCGCGCCGGGCAGGTGCTGGCACCAGGATCAGGCTTCATCCCAGCCCATGCCGGCCAGGTGAGTGCTGGGGTCTGGCCCCGCTTGGGCATCCTCCAGCCCTGCCTTCCATGGGTAAGCCCGTCACCCCCAGGCCTGCTTCTGGGGCATGCCCTCCCCGAGAGCCCCCCATCCTCGGGTACTCCATCTACCCCCAGGCCCCTCCCAAAGCACCCCAACTCCTCTCCCTGGGCCATGGCTCCCTCCCCGCACCCCCATGGCTCTGGGGCTCCCCCTTCTCTCCAACCATCTGGAGAGAGCTGATCAGTGCCCATGGGGCTTCAGCGCCCGCAGCCCACAAACTCCCTCTCTGCCTTTACCCATGCGCCCACAACGCAGCACCAGAGCTGGCAGCATGGCCCAGGCCAGGGTCCTCCCAGCCTCACCCAGCACCTGTGTCTCCAGGTGTTCAGGCTGCAGATCCTGGTTACCGACAGGAGCGGGAGAAACTGCAGTGGGGCCGTGACAGTGACGGTGCTGCCCGTCCACCGCCCCCACATCAACTTCATGTAAGGGCACAGGGTGTGGGGCATGGAGGGGTGGGGCACAGGGGTGCTGGAGGCAGGGGTGTGGGGTAATGTTCCCAGGGTGTAGGGCATAGGGGGCAGAGGTATGGGGTGATGGGGGCAGGGGTGTGAGGTGCAGGTATTTGGGGCACAGGGGGCAGAGTTGTGGGGCTTGGGGACTTGGGGCACAAGGGTGCTGGGGGGCAGGGGTGTGGAGCGCAGGGGTGTGGGGTACAGGGTGATGTTTCCAGGGCATAGGGCACAGGGGGCAGAGTTGTGGATTGTGGGGATTTGGGGTGTGGTGGTGTCATGGAGTCACCGGGACGATGCTCTGGAACTACTCCATATGAAGCCAGTCAGGACTCTGGGGGAGCATGCCTCCTCTCTCTGAGCATACTGTTTCCAGGGCAAGAAGCTTACACAGCTTCCACCTTCCTGGATCTGACCTCGGAGCATTCAGCATCCCCTTCCACACTGTGCGCTTCCCGCGGTGAGTCCGCCTGGATGGAGTTCCTGGGGAAGCCAGAGGGCCCTGCACCCCAGCTCTGCAGTCAGATGTGACTCTCAGCCAGCTGGTAAAACAGAAGGTTTATTAGTCAACAGGAACACAGCATAAGACAGAATTCAGTGACTTTCAGCCAAGTCTATCTTGGGCGGGAGGGGAGCCCAGAGCCAGGGGTCTGGTCCTCCCACTGCGCCCCAAGCCAGCCAAGACTGACTTTCTTACAGCTGCCTGACCCCTGCCCTGCCCATTGCTCCTCCTCTGGCCTTTGTCTCGCTTCCCGGGCCAAGAGTCACCTGGTTGCATCCCCCTCCTGGGTCTCAGGTTACGAAGGGGCAGCCATAGCATCTGTGCAGGCAGCTGGAGCATCCCCTGCAAAAGTCACACATGCTTCTTCCCACCACCTAGACATTAGTGCAATACACAGGGAAACTGAGGCACACACAGCATTCATGCAAAACAATAAGACTCACATAGGCTCACATACAACATAACAAGGGAAAATCCCCACTGTGTCAAATCTCTCTCCTCTTCGAGACCAAACTGAGCGGGGTCACTTTAGCCAGCAACCTGGAGAAGTTCAGGCCTCCCTCTCCGGGACAAAGCATCAGCTATAACATTCGGGGGGAGGGATAGCTCAGTGGTTTGAGCATTGGCCTCCTAAACCCAGGGTTGTGAGTTCAATCCTTGAGGGGGCCATTTAGGGATCTGGGGCAAAAATTGGGGATTGGTCCTGCTTTGAGCAGGGGGTTGGACTAGATGACCTCCTGAGGTCCCTTCCAACCCTGATATTCTATGATTCTATGATTTGTACTCCCCTTAACATGGACCACCTCCTTCTCATAATCCTGGGAGGACAGACTCCACCTCAGGAGCTTGGCATTGGACCCTCTCATCTGATGCAGCCACGGCAGGGGTAGTGGTCTGTGTACACAGTGAAGTGCCACCTAAATAGATTCGGCTGCAGCCTTTTAAGAGCCCACTTCATGGCCAGGCATTCCTTCTCTATGGCTGCATAGCCCTGCTCCCAGGGCAGCAGCTTCCTGCTCAGGTATAGATGTGGTGTTTCTCCCCATTTGCATTGGCCTGCCTCGGCACTGCGCCCAGCCCTGTGTCTGGGGCATCTGTGAACACCATTAAGAGCGTGTCAAAGTCTGGGTTTCCCAGCACTGGGCCCTTGACTAGATCCTACTTCAGCATGCAGAGAGCCCTCTAGCACTGCCCAGACCAGACCAGCTTGTCTGGCTTACCCTTCTTGCATAGCTCAGGGATGGGAGCTGACACAGAGCTAAAGTGGAGCACAAGCCTCTGGTAGTGCTCTGCCATCCCAATAAAGGCCTGGGTCTGTTTCTTAGTCTAGGGAGCAGGCCAGTCTTTGATAGCCCCCACATTGGCTGGCTCTGGCTTTAGGCAGCTGCTCTGTACCTTGTGGCCCAGGTACAACACCTCTGCCATCCCCACCTTGCATGTCCCAGCTTTTACAGTCAGCCTTGCATCCTGGAGGTGACTCAGCCCCATCTTCACCTGGGACACCTGGTCCTCTCAGGTCTGGCTAACGACATAAATATCATCAATGTACACTAGGGTAAAATTCTCCATCCCCGTCAGTAATTGATCCATCTGGCACTGGTAGGTGACTAGCGCCTCCTTGAGACCAAAAGGTAGATCCAGGGACTTGTACAGTCCCAGAGGGGGTGGTAAAAGCAGGTTTCAACTTGGCATCTGGATCCAAAGGCACCTGCCAGTAATAGCCTTTGGTGAGATCCCTGGTGATGGGGTACCGAGTCCCGCCCCAACTTGTCTAGGATCTCATCAGTCCTAGGAATGGGCAGGCACCAGACATGGTGATGTCATTGAGCTTCTGATAGGCCACACAGAATCGGATCGACCCATCTTTCCTAGGGACCAGCACCACGGGAGAGGCCCCTGTGGCTGGTGGATGGCTGGATCACCCCTAAAGCCAGCATGTCTCTGACCTTTCTCCCTCCAGGGCCTGTGCTGTGTTCCCCATTTCTCTGAATGGGAAACACCTGATGGGAGGGCTGGGTCCCATCTCCACTCAATGGACAGCTTGGTTAGTGAGCCCAGGCCTCTTGGAACACAGCTGTTGGTTGGAAAACAGCTGTTGGTACAAATGCACTGTCTCTTGCATCTCTGCCTGCTGGGCAGGGGTTAGCTGGTCAGAGAGGGGAATTGATTCCAGCAAGGGGCCAGCTCCTGTCTCAAGGAATAGACCCACTAGGGGATCTTCCCCCTTCTCCCACTGGCCACATATGGCCAGTAGAAGCTCTTCCTGTCACAGTACAGCTCCATTATACTGACCTGGTCCCCTCAGTGGCTGTGAGTCCAGTTGGGCAGTTCCACCACATCGTTCTCCTCATTCATCTGCTTGATGACCTTGAAGGGCCCGTCCCAGGCACCTTGCAGCTTATTCTCCTCTATGACAGGCAGATGTCTCAAGACTGCTGTACCCTTGTCCCAGGCCATTTGCACCTCTAAACAAGGCTGCCCTGATTGGCAGCTGTCCCGCCCTGGCTGTGGTTCCCCACACTCAAATGGGGTCAGAGCCAGTGTGAGCCACCTCCCCCCTGTGCAGTGGGGTGGGGACCATCTCTCTGTCCCACTCAACTCCAGGGCTCTGGTTACAGACAGGCAGGTAACCTGAGCTTAGCAGCTCCTTAGAGCTTTGCATTTTCACTGACTGCTTCAGTCTCAGCCGATTGTTTCCCTGGATTCAAATTCAAATCCTCGGCCGCAGGGCCTGGATCCTGTCCCAAATAGACACAGTCATTCTCCAAGAGGAGGTCACAGCTGATATCTTGGAGAACCCCTACTACCAGCCAGCCCGACCCCTCCTGTCTGTACAGGGATCTGGGTCACAGGCATGGTGAGGGACATGCACATGCTGCAGTGGGGGAGGTTTAGATTGGATATTAGGAAAAACTTTTTCACTAAGAGGGTGGTGAAACACTGGAATGCGTTACCTAGGGAGGTGGTAGAATCTCCTTCCTTAGAGGTTTTTAAGGTCAGGCTTGACAAAGCCCTGGCTGGGATGATTTAACTGGGAATTGGTCCTGCTTCGAGCAGGGGGTTGGACTAGATGACCTTCTGGGGTCCCTTCCAACCCTTATATTCTATGATTCTATGATTCTAGGGGCTTCATTCCTTGGACCTTCACCCAGGTCACACAGCCCCTCAGCATCTGGTGAGGCAGCACCACCTGGGGCCTGACAACAGTTCTCTCTGTCCCAGGATCTTGCCACTCCAGGAATGTCTCCCCATTGACCACCACCTTCCACTCCCACTGGGGGTCCGAGGGGCCTGAGCCCAGGAGAGGACACGCAGACATATGCTGCGGCCAGGGGTGAGAGCCAGTCTGCCACCCTGCCCACCAGACTAAACAGCTCTATGGCCTTGGGACCCAGGAAGGGGGCTAGACACCAGAGCTTTTCCGCAGGGCCAGCCTGGTTCCAATTGCCAGCCTTCCCAAAGGCAGCGAGACAGGCATCTACTTCTCCCCGCTCCTTAACCTGGGGCAGCAATTTAGTGTCGAGGTTCCCTGCAGAATTGGCACCCCGGGGTCTATCCCCACTCACCCCTGGACTGGTTCCTCTGCCTCTCAGCTCAACCATCACCACTTCATGCTGCCTCTGTCTCTCCTGCTGTTCTGCTTCATGCCTTCCCTGTCTCTAATGGTCCTCTGACTCCTTCAATCTCAACTCCAATTCCATCTGTCTCAGATCCACCAACAGGGAGCTGGTGGAGACCCCCTGCTGGTTGGGGACGGTGGCAGAGGTCTCAGCCCGCCTGCTCCCAGCCTCTCTCGCGGCCCCAGCTGGGTCAGGAGCCAATGTGGACCCTGGGGCTGCCTGGCTGCTTCCAGCCACTCTCACACCCCCAGCTGGGTCAGGAACCAGTGCGGGCCCTGGGGCTGCCTGGCTGCTCCCAGCCTCTCTCATGGCCTCAGCTGGGTCAGGAACCAGCTCCTTAGAGCAATCCTCCTCTTCCAAGTGAGTAATCAGCTGTGTCTTAGTGATCTTTCCAATATGCAGCCGTTTCTCTCTGCACAGCTCTACAATGTTCTTCATAAGGAGATGATTATAGGCCATCTCCACAGTGTTCCCAAATGGTCATGGATTCACAGGCCTATGCTCTTTCAGCTCCCCACAGTCCCTGGGAACAGCCCTTCTCAGGGGTCCACTCTCTGTCAGGATTAAGCCGTAGGCTCCTCCACCTCCTGGAACTGCACCTCTCGGAGCCTTCAGCATGCCCCCTTTGTTTTACTGCTCCCCAGTCACGTACTGCAGGATGCTCTGTCCACGAGGTGCAGTTTATCCCACCTCTGACACCAGTCATCACGGAATCACCAGGGAGATGCTCTGGAACTATTCCGTACAAAGCCAGCCAGGACTCTGGGGGAGCATGCCTCCTCTCTCTGAGCATACTGCCTCCAGCCAGCCAGACTGATTCGCTTCCAACTGCCTGACCCCTGCACTGCCCATTGCTCCTCCTCCAGCCTTTGTCTCGCTTCCTGGGCCAAGAGTCACCTGGTTGCATCCCCCTCCTGGGTCTCAGGTTACAAAGGGGCAGCCATAGCATCCATGGAGACATCTGGAGCAGCCCCTGCAAAAGTCACACACCCATATTCCCACAACCTAGACATTGGTGCAATACACAGGGAAACTGAGGCACACATAATATTCATGCAAAATAGTAACTCACATAGGCTCATATACAAAACAACAAAAGAAAATCCCCACTATGTCACAGGGGGTGTGGGTTACAGGGTGATGTGCACAGGGGCAGTGGTGTGGGGTGCAGGTATTTGGGGGACACGGTGATGTTCCCAAGGCATAGGGGGCAGAGTTGTAGGGCCTGGGGATTTGGGGCGCGGGAGTGTGGGGCACAGGGTGATGTGTGCAGGTGTTATGCTTATAAGAAGCACACAAGATCTTTTTCAGGGGAAAAGGCAATACACCGCATTTATTGAAGATACAACAATTAGCATATGCATTCAATCACACACACACACACACACATTCTGTCCCGCAAGTCGACGTTATAGTTACCAGTCCACAGTCCGGATCAATCTAATGGCCCTAGGTTGATCATGGGTAGGGAGGAGCCGGGTTCTGCTGGTTGCGACATGATGCTCTGGGGAAGTCTTGGCAGGATGAACCCAAAGTTTCATGGCAAGGCACCCTGTATATATAGTGATTTTCCTTCATTGGGACCAATGAGTTTTGCACCGTCATGCTATAATCAATTGTTGTTTGACAAGTGCTTGTTTTCTTAAATTGTTTTTCTCATCCTTTATCTTGTTCTTTCATCAAGTCTCTCAGGGAGTTATCCCATGCTGGTTTTGATCACAGCTATCCTGTCCCCATTGATAGGTGCTTGTCTCATCTTTAGAGTCGTCAATCTGCCCTCCTCTGACATTTCAGTAGGGGTGTGTTGCATCCTTCTAGCACCCTTGCATCTGTTTTAGGATCCTCCCTAGAACGTCTGGTTCGGTGAGGGCCTTCACACTTATCTCTTAACACATACATTCCTCATTCACACACAAAACAGAATTGATTTACACAGAACATTTTGAACAGGAACATCAAATTGCAATGCAGAAGAAAAACAATCATGGCTACACTATTATCTTATTATTCTTTATCCTTCATTCTAAATTATACAAAATACAAACAATAAATCCTACTACTACACAGGGGACAGGGGTGAGGGGCACAGGAGCAGGAATTTGGGGCACAGGGGTGAGGGCACAGGATGATGTTCCCAGGGCTTAGGGTGCAGGGGGCAGAGTTGTAGGGCATGGGGATTTGGGGTGTGGGGTGTGTGCAGTGCAGGGTGATGTGCTTAGGGGCAGGGGTGTGGGGCAAAGGTATTTGGGGCACAGAGAGCAGGGATGTGTGGCACAGAGCTGCCACAGGCACAGGGAGATAGATGTTCCCAGGGCATAGGGGGAAGATTTGGGGGACCAGAGGGCAGGGGTGTGGGCTAATGTTCCCAGGATTAGGGCAGAGGGGGCAGCTTTGGGGCACAAGGGGGCAGGGGGCAGGGATGTGGGGTGCAGGGTAAAGTTCCCAGGCGCAGGGCTAGGCCTGGAGGGGCAGGCAGCAGAGGGCTGACGCAGGCAGTGCAGTGCAGCTGGGCAGCAGATCTGTCAGCCATGCCGGCGGGGCATCTCTTGGACAGTGCGTGGCAGCCCCGTCCTGCTGGGGGCCGTGAGGGGGACGAGGGTGCCTGGGGCAGGGGCTGAGTGGGTGCCTGATGGTGGCAAGGCTGGCGGTGGCTGGGCTGACCTCTGCCATGTGGTGGGCAGGGCAGCGTGGCGCAGTGTGGCCGTGCTGGAGAAGAGAGGCGCCATGCAGCTTGTCACGCAGGTCCAGGCCCAGGGGAACAACGTGCGCTACGAGATCATCGCCCCGGCTGCTCATGGGCTCTACACCATTGATACAGGTGAGCCACGCTGCTGCCCCAGGCCGGGCATATGGCCCCGGGGTTCCCTCATAGCATGGCAGGGCGGTGACTCATTTCTGAGATCCCCCAATATTGTGGCAGGGCCGTGGCTGGGGGGTATCTCTGGGATCCCCCAATACCACTGTGGCAAGGCCGTGGCCAGGGACATGTCTCTGCCCTACCACATAACGTGCCAGGAGCATGACCACAGACATGTCTCTGCCCCCCCGCCCCCTAACATGGTGGGGCCGTGACGCTGGCAAGTTTCCCTGAGAGCAGCCCTTCCCTTCAGTCCCTGTCCCTGCCTGGGGGTGCCGAGGGCTGCAGAGGCCCCAGCCTGGTGCTGGGCACATGGTGACACCCTCCTGTCCTCGGCAGTGACTGGCGAGCTCCGCAACACCTACGAACTGGACCTGCAGCGCTCCCCAGAAGTGGCGCACACCCAGCTTCTGGTGCGGGCCTATGACATGCTGCACCCCAGCGACAGCGACATCATCTGCCTCAACATCACTGTGCTCCCCACCAGCACATTGGCACCCCACTGCTCCCCCGCTGTCTTGCTGTAAGGCTCTCTGCCCCCACCCCCCAGCACGGCTGGGAGCCAGATTTTGCCCCGGGCTCTGCCCCGGCTCTGGGAGGGCAGTGAGGCCTAGTGGGTGGGGGTTGCAGGGGCATGGAGCCAGGAATTCTGGGTTCTATCCCCAGCTGTGACACACTCTACTTTGCAATGTTGGCCAGGTCCCTGTAGCTCCCCTTGTGGAAGGGGCTGCTGCCCCTGGGGCAAGGTGAGATCCTAGCTGCAGGTGGCCCTGGCTGAAGTGTCATGCAGACGGACCCTGAGTGCTGGCCATAGTGTGGCAAGGCTGCAGAGGGCACGCTTGGCACAAGGGCAGGAGAGAGTCCCCCTCCCTTTGCCCAAGTCCTGTTGGCCCCTTCCCCCACTGGTTACCCCTGCCCTCCTTCTGCCAGGGCTCAAGTACCTGAGGACACCCCCATCGGCTGGACTCTCGCGATGCTGACATGCACGGACCCAGATGCCAGCAACAGCTCCCTGCGCTACCAGGTGGAGGGTGACCAGCACTCGCGCTACAGCTTCCGCATGCAGGGCCCACAGCTGCAGGTGAGCCCAGCGGGCAAGGGCAGGGCACACCCGACCAGTGCCAGTGCCTTCTGCAGCCAGCAGGGCACCATGGGGCACTGCTGGGGCCTGGTCTGTGGGATCCGGACTGCCCCACCTGGCAACCCGCAGGGAGCTCAGCTGTAAACTGCCTGGGCTCTATCCCCAGCTCTGGGAGGGGGATGGGGGCTAGTGGTTAGAACAGGGGGAGCGGGGCTGGGAGCCAGGCCTCCTGGACTCTGTCCCCAGCTCTGGAAGGGAAGTGCGGGCTAGTGGTTAGAGTGGGGAGGGAAGGGGCCTGGGAGCCAGGACTCGGGGTTCTCTCCCCAGCAGGGCTCATGTGCGGTTCAGGGGGAGGCATGGGGTGGCAAGGCTCAGTGGGCAGCCCTGGCTGTGGAGTTTCAGTGTCCAACCCCTGCAAATCCGAGCTGCCTGGGTTTGAATCCCGCAGGTCAACGAGACCCTGGACTACGACTCAGCTGCCAGTGCCCGCTTCCAGTACGTGGCCACCATCCTGGTGACGGACAACGGGCAGCCCCCCCTGAGCAGTGAGTGCCCCCGCTCTGCTGACCCCCGGCCTGGCCCAGGCCCCTCAGTCCAGTCGTACAGGCAGGGCAGGGGCAGTGGGTGCTGGGCAGCTCCAGGTATCTGAGGGCAGCACCAATCCCAGTGTAACCCTTAGCCAGAAAGTGCAGCCATAGGGGACACAACTTCCAGAATACAGTGGGGTCGCAAGGCCCCTCTTTACTGCCCACGGAGCTGTCAGCAAAAAACACCCTTTCCAGCCCACAAGAGCCCAGCCCGGGTGTGTGGGTGTGTGTGGGGGGGGTTGTTCCCCTCCATCCCCAGACAGCCCGGCCCCAGGGGATGGTCCCCCCACACCCCCAGACAGTCTGGCCTGGGGGGGACTGATCTACCCACCGACCCCAGACAGGCCAGCCCCTGGGGGCTGGTCCCCTCACATAGCCCGGCCCCCGGGAGCTGTTTCCTCCCCATCCCCAGATAGCCTGGCCCTGGAGGCTGGTCCTCTCTGTCACGGAGTCACTGGGCAATACTCTGGAACTACTCCCTGTGAAACCAGTCAGGACTCTGGGGGACCCTCTTCTCTCTGACCATACTGTCTCCGGGCCAAGAAGTTTACCCAGCTTTGACCTTCCTGGATCTGACCTCGGAGCATTCAGAATCCTCTTCCACCCCATGCTTTTCCCACAGCGAGTCTGCTCATGCAGAGCTCCTGGGGAAGCCAGACGGCCCTGCACCCCAACTCCGCAGTCAGACGTGACTCTCAGCCAGCATGCAGAACAGAAGGTTTATTAGTCGACAGGAACACAGTGTAGAACAGAACTTGTTAGCACAGAAATCAGTGACTTTCAGCCAAGTCCATCTTGGGGAGTCCTGGGCCTTCTCCTCCCCTTTGTCCTGCTTCCTGGGCAAAAGGTGTCACCTGGCGGCGCCCCCTTCCTGGGTCCCAGGTTACGAAGGGCACTGGTCATAGCATATATGCAGGCAGCTGGAGCAGCCTTACCTGCCCCACAGGTCTCTGCCAAAGTCACAGACCCCTATTCCCACCACCGAGGTATTGGTGCAGCACACAGGGAAACTGAGGCACACACAGTATTCATGCAAAACAGTAAAACTCACATAGGCTCAACAGTAAGACTCACACACAACAGAACAAGGGAAAATCCCCACTTCGTCACACCCTCCATCCCCAGACAACCCGGCCCCACGTAGTTGATCCCCCCGGCCTCTGTGATGCAGCCCATGTGCCTGTGCTGGTGACGGTGACTCCGAAGAACGAGCACTCACCTGCGTGCCCAGCCCGTGCCATGTTCAGTGTGCCAGAGGATGCTGCCTTCGGCGACACAGTGGGCCGGGTGAATGGCACGGACCTTGACTACCCCTTCGACAACATTGAGTATAGCATTGCTGGGGGCACCGGCGCCAGCCCGCCTGCCTTCTACATTGGCCCCCGGACCGGTAAGCCACCATGCCAGTCTGCATGGGCCTGTGCTAGCCTCTCCCACCTGTTCCTGAGCCTGTTCCCCAGCACCCGCCCCCATTACCCCTCCCCCACCCTGCCCCTTACTCCTCCAACCGCCCCCATTACCCCACCCCCACCCTGCCCCTTACTCCTCCAACCGCCCCCATTACCCCACCCCCACCCTGCCCTGCCCCTGTTACTCCTCCAACCGCCCCATTACTCCATCCCCGCCCTGACCCCATTACCCGACCCTGCCCTGCCCCCGTTGCCCCGCCCTGCCCTGCCCCCGTTGCCCCACCCCACCATGCCCTGCTCCCACCCCCATTACCCCACCCACCCGTTTTCCCTCCACCCGCCCCCGTTACTCCATCCCCACCCTGACCCCTTACCCCACAACCACACTTACCCCTCCACTGCTCCCCCACCCTGCCCTCCAGGCAGCCCCCTCCCCACCTGACCCTAGCCTGGACCCTGAGTCCCTCTCTTGAGGAGCCCAGGCTGTGGGTGTCTCCACAGGATGTTTCTGCATTGCTGCTCCTATGTCACGCAGGTGAAATTCACGTGCTCAGTCCCCTGGACTACGAGAGCAAGCAGGTCTATATCCTGACCGTGCAGCTGCGGGACATGGCCAATGATGCAGACCCACATCACCAGCACAGTGCACTGTGTGACATCACCATCCAAGTGCAGGTGATGCTCCGCTGCGCGCTTCCTGGCCAGCCCCGGGGCCGGTCCCACAATGCATGTGCACCAGGGGTCTGGTTAAGGTTACTCAGGCCACCTTAACTCTGGCGTTCCCTAATTCTGGAGCGCTTGCTCTGCCAGCTAAGCCTGTCCTCGGCCTCGCGGTTCGGTCTGTGCCATTCCAAGGATTCCAAGGAGAAAACAGATCAAATCCCGTGCAGGTATCTGCTAGGAGCCCTGGATGCCTGGGTTCAGCCCCTGGCCACAGGAGGGCAGCGTGCTCTTTATTAGCACAGGGGTGCTTTGCCTTTCCACAGTGCTCAGGTAGGCGGGGTGGGGGTGGTTCTGCGGAAGCCTCCCTGGTTATCCCTCGAATCAGCCCACTCTTCCCATGAGCCATGACAGCAGCCAGGCACCTAGAGCCCTGGCGTCCCCGGCCAACCCTGCCAAAGGCCCAGCCGGGAGCCCTCTGTAAGCCTATGCCCGGTGACTCGCCTGCCTCCTGAAGTGGAGGGATGAGGCTCTGCCATGTGGCTGTGATGGGAACCCCGGTGGGTGGAGAGGCCAGACCAGGCTGGTGATGAGGCTGCAGGAGGCTGTGGTGGTGCTGTGCAGGGATGGGCTCTTCACAGCTTCGGGGCCCAGCCCACCCAGTCTATTGGCAGCCAGCTCCCCAGCTCTGACCAGAGACAGAGAGCAGCATGGGGCCCCTCTGCCCCCCGCGGTGGCCTTGATAGAAGCTGGGGGGAAGGGAAGAAGCAGCCCATGGGCACTGTGCCATCCACAGCTCTTCGGTGGAACCAATAGAAACATGGGTTACAGGCTGCTACCGGCGTGGCCCTGCCCACACCCACTGGCAATGGGGCTGCCCCTGGGGTGCCACAGGGTGCTGCCCAGTGTGGCCCTGCCCGTGCCCACCTGCAATGGGGCTGCCCCTGGGGTGCCGCAGGGTACTGGCCAGTGCGGCCCTGCCTGTGCCCACCAGCAATGGGGCTCCCACCCCACCTCCCTCCTCTAGCACAGATCTGCCTGGCAGGAGTGAGAGGTGAATCCAAGCTGGTTGCGAGCACAGTATAGGGTTGTGACACACATGGTACTGCTCTGGCCCTGCCAGCAGAGGGCAGTGCCCTGGCTTAGCGTGCTATCTCTGTGTTTCTGGGATGTCATGCTGCCCTGGTGCCTAGGTCCTGTCCTGCGGCCTAGTTCGCAGGAAGGAGAGCTGGGAATGTGCCTGGCTCAGGGATGGCCCATTGCCCTGACCCGGGGCTGACCTGCCTAGCCTGGGGAACTCTGATCCCGCCCTGGGCCCCGAGTGCCACTGCAATGCCACCCACGCCACAGCCCTGGGGTGGCTGTTCCCAGCACAGGCCTCCGTGTGCCCCCAGGACACCAACGACCAGCCCCCGCGCTGCATGCCCCCCTTCCAGGAGTTCTTCATCTACTCCACCCGGGACCCCAGCCTGCCCCTCGCGCAGTTGCAGTGCTCCGACAAGGATGAGAGCACCATGCTGCCCCTGACCTACACCCTTGTGGGAGGTGAGTGGGTCACGTTTCCATGCCCCTGGCCTAGCACAGGGCAGGGGGCATTTCTGTGCCCCTGGCCTAACCCTGGAGAGGGAGCGGGGCATCTCCATGCCTATGGCGTAGCCCTGAGAGGGGGAGCTGGGCATCTCTGTGCCCTTGCCCTACCTGTTGGGGGAGGGTGTCTCTATGCCTCTGGCCTAGCCCGGGGGGGGGGGGGGGGAGGGCTGGGGCATAACTGGGTGTTTCTGTGCCCCTACCTTACCTGTCGGGGGGGAGGGAGGAGGCTGGGTTTGGGGCTCGTAGGGGCTCATGGCTCACTCGCACTCTGTGGGGACCTGGCAGGGCCTCGGAGGTAGTGTCTGCAGTGGAAATAAGGGGGCTCTGTGGTGGGGGCTCTCCGCACTCAGGGTGTGGGGCAGCATCCCCTCCCCACTGCTACCCCAATGGGCGGTGGAGCCCAGGCTCATCAAGGCCTTTCCTTGCCAGGCAACACCAATGGGCACTTCCGTCTGGCGGGCAGCACCCTGCTGCACTCTGCCTTCTCCGACCCACCCGACAGCATCCACGAGCCCCGTACCTTCGAGCTGCTGGTGGAGGTGACAGACAGCTTCAGTGCGCCACGCCACAGCACCACAGCCACGCTGGTTGTGCATGTGACACCCTGGGCCACTGCCACGCCCAGCACCACCACCATACACACGGTGAGCCAGGGAGCTCTGGGGTGCCCCCAACTCATCCCCTCCCATCAGCCTGCTCTGTTCTCCTGAGGTAGCCCTATGACCCAGGGTAACTCCCCCACCCCCTAGCCTGTTCCAGCCCCCCAACCTGGCTGCCCCATGGCTTCTGCTTCCCCCTGCCTCCCCCACCCGTCCATGTCCCCTCTGGAGGGCTGCTCCTATCCCCATTTGTTGTGGGCACGGCCCCTGGCGTTGGCAAGGGGACAGGGATGAGCCTGTGGTTGAGGTACCCGCTGGCAGACTGGGCTGACCTGAGCTTGTGCTGGGATGTGTGAGGGTGGGGGTGGGGGTAGTCTCCTTTCCTAGGGCTCCAGTCTGTGTCCTGGAGTCACCCTAGAGCCTACACTGTGCCAGACTTTCCTGGGCCCCCCTTTTCTGGCAGGGTGTTGGGCACAGGGAGGTTATGCAGCCCTCCTGTGACATGGTGCCCCAAGCTGCGCTGGGGCCCAGTGCCCCATGTTGCAAGTGCATGGAGCTGCTTTGTCCCATGAAACTGCTGCCCACAGCCCGCAGAGCTCCCTGCCCACCATGCCCATACCCCAGCTTGCCAGGCCTCCCATCACTTTGCTCTCTGCTGCCAGACCCTGCGGAAGGGGCCGCTAGTCGTCACCCACACCGAGTGGTTCTGGGCACCCTCGCCTTGGTTTGTGGTGGTGCTGACTGTCTCTGTGGCGCTGCTGCTGGTGGCGCTGGCATGGCTGGCCTGGAAACTCCTGTGCAGGTGAGTGCTGACATGCAGGGTGGCGTGGGCAGGGCTGCCAGGCAGGACACACCCTGCCATGGCCAGGGTCCACCTGGTTAGGAGGGGCTTTCAGGGCTCTGCCAGGGGCAGCAGCCCACCTGCCCCCTGCTCCTGACCCGTAGGGCAACAGGGGCGCAGACCCCTGCCCTTCGCCACTCCCCTGTGCTCCTCATTGCAGGTCTGCTCCGGGCAAGTCAGCGCAGCCACTCCTACAGGACAGGTGAGAGCCTCTCCACGCATCCCTGGGCACCATTGGGGCATTGGCCCAGCCTGAGGAAGCGTAGGGGACCCAGCCCTAAAGCTGGGTGTTGGGGACCCCATTGGAGCCAGTCCTGGGCCAGGGCCCTTCCTGTTACCAGATTTGCCCGTTACTATGGGGTATGTTCATTTATTAGGGTTACTCTTCGGGCATGGGAGGTGTCTATAATTCTATCAATGTACTGCTTATGTCACTTGTATTTTCATAAGGAGCTCTACTTCTCCCTTCTGCAAGTCCCCTCTCAAGGGAACTATCCTTCAGGACCTAGGTTCCCCAGGACTGGGCTCCTCCAGCCCCAGAATCAGATGAACACACACACATACACATTAACAGAGCAAGTCTGAATGGACCAAGTCAATCAGCACCCTCAAGCTGACCCCTTTTATGGTCCTGGACTCAGTGGGCTGGGTCAAGCAGGATTTCCAAGCTGCCACCCTTATATGCCCCTGGACTCAATAGACTGGGCCAAGCAGCACTTCCAAGCCACAAGTACCGCACTGGAATAGAGTACACCTGAGCAGGCTGGGTCAAACAGCACTTCCAGGCTGCCACCCTCGTATGTCACAGGTTCAGCATGTCCTTATCCCCACTTTCACGTTACAATTGAAAAGTAGTAACCCACTTGATGAGCAAACCCCACAGTATTTTTGGGCGCTACAGGGATCTTTAGCTTAGGTAAGAGCGTTGCTGCAGAGTAAATGGGGGAGCCAAAAAAAACAAAAGAATAAAGTTCAGAGAGAGACAGAGGGAAGCAACCAGCTTAACCATAAAAGTTATTTATTGAATAATAGTGATAACTACACAAGGAGAGCCTAAACAAACACAACAGTTACATTATTAAAGATTACAAAAGTCAGGTATAGAAAACTATGCCTAATCAAACAAGTCAGGGTTAAAAAGTTATACCTGAGGTAGAAAAGAAAACAGAGAGAGAGAGAGCTGGGGTCTCACCACTCCATGAAGCTTGAACTGGTCGGGGTTCCCAGGTGATGGTGGTAGCTCAGGGTCCTGAGTGCTGGAGAGAGGCAGAGCCCCCAGCACAATCAGGCAGGAGAAGTAGTCCCAGTGGAACTCATACAGAGTTTGGATCCAGGCATCAGAACACGTACTTGAGTGTGAGTAGGGGTTTTTGTAGGGAACAGTGGTTCAAGGGAGAACACTAGATTTGTTTATGGGTATACTAATGCCTCAAGGGTTTTCTTCAGGCTAGACAATAGGAACTGATCATTCCTGGCTATGGGTGGTGTTCATTCAAGGGAGTTTACAATGCAATTTGGCAGCTTCAGTATTTTGGATGTCAATCAAGGATTCATTACTAGAATTGGTCTGATAACTGCTGAGCTGGGTGTGTGCAGGCGTGGGTTCATTAACATCTGAAGCAGGGATCCCCCGTGATGCAGTGCTCCCCTGCTTTTCTGGTCCCAGAGTTCAATGTGGTAATCTGTTCTTCATTCTGTAAGCTAATGAAGATGTCTCCCTGTCCCATCTTTGATGCAGCTGAGGCTAGGGGAGTTGCCTTAATACTGTCACCCTTGTCAGGAGGGGTTTAGGTGTGTCTCCCACTGCCTTTTCATTACTCTCTGTTGGGCATGGCTACCCTGGAAACTGTCAAAATGCTGGTAATCCACCTCCATGAGCGGATTAGCTCTGAGCACTGGGAGCACGGCTCCCAGTGCTTTGAGCCTGTTTACACTAGCACTTTAAAGCGCTCTGACTTGCTGTGCTCAGGGGGGTGATTTTTCACACACACATGCTCCCCCCCGAGCCAGCAAGTTAGAGTGCTATAAAATGTAAGTGTAGCCAAGCCCTAAATCTTTCCTCCGATCGGTTTTGGTTCAAACAGAGGCTGGGGCGAGGGGGTGTCCTTCATGAGTCAGACAGGCTGGATACTGCGCCCTGGTTCCCCAAGAACACAGAGCTGATTGGTATCCTTCTGGGGGGGGAGGTCCGCTCCGTCTCCGGGGCTGGGCCACATTGACATGCTAAGCTGGGACTGCTGGTAGACAGCAGATCAATCTGGGAGGGGCTGCGCCTTTGCCATGGGTTGGCACTGACCCTGGACCCTTTGCCATGGTAGAGGTGCTGTGCTGCTGGAGACCTGAGATCTAGCTCTGGCCACGTGTGGGCACTGAGTGCTAGGCTGCCCTGCTAGAGCAGAGGCTGGGACAACCCCATAATGAATGGCACCTGCCTCCCATAGGGCCCTGCAGCTCCTGGGGGGCTTGGCACCCTACCGCACCATGCTGTTTCCCTATGCCCCTCTCAGAATGACCAGCCGTGTGCACCACAGCCTGCCATGGTGCCTGTTGCCTGGCATGGGACCCAAGCCTCACCCGAGGAAGCTCCTTGTGCTCTGTATCCTGAAGGCACTGATGGCAGGGGCTGCCCCGCTGCCAGGCTGGGAGCTCCAGTGCCTAGCTACAGTGCCTTGGCATCCAGCAGAGGGTGCTCAGGCTGTGGGAGGGGCACATGCCAGCACAGGTGGTAGGTGCCTGGCTCTTTGGGGTCCATGCCCTGACTATCCTCTCACTCCCCTCAGGGCCTTGTCAGACCCACATGTGGCAAAGAACAACACAGCCCCGGGAGAGCTGGACAAGGAGACAGGCCGCGCCAGCATCCTCAGCTTGGTACAGACGCCTCATCCGAGCATGTGCCAGGCAGGAGCCCTGCCAAGGCTGTCCCCAGAGCACTGCACCCAGCCTGTGCACATGCCAGGCCCCCACTGCCACCTCGCCCCCTGAGCCTGGCACAGCCTGCAGTTGGCATGGTCCATGACAGCTCCCCCAAGAAGTTGGGCACCTTCCCCTGCTTGCCTGCCCTGCCCCCAGCGCCCGCTGCTGGCTCTGTCCCCGCAGTGCGCCTGCCCCGCCCCCCAGCATCCCCTGCTGGCTGTCCCCCCGAGTGTGCCTGACCCGCACCCCAGCAGCCCCTGCTGGTTCTGCTTTCCAGTGCACCTGCCCCGCTCCCCCAGCACCCCCTGCTGGCTGTGCCCCCCAGTGTGCCTGCCCCACTTTCACAGCACCCCCTGCTGGGGGAAGTCGGTGTTGCCTTATCCGTACAGCTCTGGCTCTCAGGTGGAGTTTGGGGCTCTGCACTGAACAGCCGCTCTCTGCTCTTCTCTCCACAGCAGGAGCAGTTTGATGGCCGTGCCCAGGACCCCAGTGAGTGCCAGGCCGGGGCCCTTCCCCCACCTCCTCCAAGCCAGTTCCGGCCCCCTACATTCTACCCTCTTCTTCCAGCCAATGCAGGCCCTCTGCCCTCCCCCATCTCCTCCCAGCCAGTGCCACTCCCTGCTCTCCCCAACCTCCTCCAAGACCATGCCAAGCTCCTGCCCTCCCCCCACCTCCTGCCAGTCAGTGCCAGCCCCCTTCCCTCCTCTCCCCACACCTCCTCCCAGCCAGTGCAGGCCCCCTACCCTCCCGCCACCTCCTCCCAGCCAGTGCCAGCCCCCTGACCTCCCCTCGTCCTCCCAGCCAGTGCCAGGCCCCAGCCCTCCCCCACTGCCTACCAGCCAGTGCTGGCCCCCTGCATCTCCCCTTCTCCCAGACAGTGCAGTGCAAGCCCTCTGTCCTCCCCCACCTCCTGCCAGCCAGTGCCAGCCCCAGCCCTCCCCTACCTCCTGCCAGCCAGTCCTCCCCACACCACCTCCCAGCTAGTTCCAGCCCCCTGCATTCCACCCCCTCCTCCCAGCCAGTGCTGGCCCTCTCCCAGGCAGAGCAGGCCCCCTGCCCTCCCCCACTTCCTGCCAGTCAGTGCCAGCCCCCTTCCCTCCCAGCCAGTGCAGGCTCCCGGCCCTCCCCCACCTCCTCTCAGCCAGTGCCAGGCCCCCTGCCTTCCCCCCACCTCCTCCCAGCCAGTGCCGGCCCCCTGCCCTCCAACACCTCCTTCCTTGGAGTGCCAGCTCCCTGCCCTCCCCCACTAAGCAAGAGGGCATGGCTGGAACCAGGGCTTTGCAGGCGAGGCGCCACCCCATACCAGAGTCTTGCCCCCTCTTGGGCTGTCAGGGAACAGCTGTGCATGTGGGCAGGGGTGGGCAAAGGGCCCGTCACCCCCCTACTTTGGAGAACTTGAGCACATCTGGGGCACTAAGATAGTTGAGCCCTTGCCTGCCCCATGGCACCACAGGGGCGGCCATGCCACATCTGAGCGCGGGCCCTTGGGGCAGGGACAAAGTGCCACTCCCACTTGGCCCCTTTTGGTCGCTCATGTCCCCACCCACGTTACAGCCCTTCCAGCCCCACAGCCTGTGTGCAGAGCCTGGTGGCTGACCCTGGCGAGAGCCCAAGAGGGAGGTGGGCCCTGCCCAGGATGACGTGCACCGTGCTTTCTATCTCAAGTTACAGGTCAGGATTACCTCTTCAACAGCAGCACCGGAGCGCGCCGCTGGGTCTGAGCAGGCACCGCCCCCCCTTGGTCTGAGTGGACACAGCTTCCCCCGCCCACACACACACTTTCCCCCTGCACTGGGTCTGAACGGGCACTGCCCGCCCCCTCGAGTCCGCCCAGCACAGCCTCTGCAGACAGGCCATCTAGAATGGGCCAGGCTGTAACTTTCTACTCTGTGCACTAACCAAGGACCATCTGCATAGGGTCCCAGACACCCAATAAACCCTCCTGCTTCTACCGCGCTGTCTAAGTCACCACAGGGCCGGGGGTGCAGTGCTTCCTCTGGGAGTGCAGGTCTCCCTCAGTGCCCATCGCAGAACTACTTGCTGCAGGGAGCTCACAGAAACGGGGGTTAGAGGCTCCAAGGGTCAGACCCAGGTGGTGGTGAAGCTGCGTGTCTTACCCTAGGCAGCAAGAGCCTAAAGGGGCTGGCACACTGAGGGGTCCTGCCAGGACAACTCCAGAGCCAGGAGGCTAGGTCCCACCCAACAGAAGTGAAGTCATCCTGGGTAAAAGGGGCACCAAGTTAAGCGCAGGATTCGCTGCCATTCAGGCCCGGCTAGAGGAGAGCAGAGGGTATAAGGGGCCAGCCGTGACCTGTGTCGTTCACTACACCGAGTAGTGACTGGAAAACGGGAAGAGCCATGTGGGCACTGCCAACACAAAGGGCTGTGGCTCAGGCCAGAGGTGCGGAGAATGGCATGCAGGGGAGGAATCTGCTGAGGTGCCAGTTGGATTTTAGCTTTAAAATCTAACAAACAGGCTTCGCCAACTGGCTCACAATGCACGGGACAGCAGCGCCTGGCACAAACCAGCCCCTCTGCATCCCTGAGCAAACCAACAGCTACCAGCCACCCCAACTATCCTGAGCAAAATACTGACCCCGCCCAAACCTCCCTCTTGACTATCCAGTGCCAAATACTGTCCACCAGTCCCCCCGCATTGTCGTGAACCAAACACCAGCTGCTAACCCCCCCTCCTGACTGTCCTGAAAAAAACACCACCAGCCAATGTCACCTGACTGTTCTGAGCCAAACACTGACCACCGCCCCTCCCCCAACTTTTCACCTAAGATGCCTGCTGGAACTAAGAAGGACAGTACTGGGGAAAGGATTGGGCCAAGACAAGGAAGGAGTTTAGTCTGTGAAAGAAACTTTCTGGAACATCTCTGAGGGTGAGATTTACCTGTAAACAGTTTCGTAATGCATTAGGCTTAGACTTGCATGTTTTGTTTTATTTTGCTTGGTAACTTACTTTGTTCTGTCTGTTATTACTTTAAACCACTTAAATCCTACTTTTTGTACTTAATAAAATCACTTATCTTTATTAATTAACCCAGAGTAAGTGATTAATCCCTGCGGGAGCAAACAGCTTGTGCATCTCTCTCTATCAGTGTTATAGAGGGCGGACAATTTATGAATTTACCCTGTGTAAGCTATATACAGAGTAAGACTGATTAATTTGGGGTTTGGATCCCATTGGGAACTGGGTGTCTAGGTGCTGGAGATAGGTGACCTGCTGAGCAGTTTTTGGTTAAAGTCTGCAGTTTTGGGGGCGTGGACCAGACCTGGGTCTGTATTGCAGCATAGTAGTGTGTCTGGCTCAACAAGACAGGGTTCTGGAGTCCCAGGCTGGCAGGGAAAATGGGCTCAGAATTAATCTGAGCACATCAGGTGACAGTCCCAAGGGGGTCTCTGTGACTGAATCCGTCACACCATCCCCCCAACTCTCCTAAGCAAACCACCAGTGCCCCCCAACTGTCCTGAGCAAAATACCAGACACCAGCCCCCCCTGCGCCTCCAGACTGTCCTGAACCAATCACCAGCCAACAGGACCCACCTCACAAACTGTCCTCAGCAAAACACCGACCTCCAGCACCCCCTCTTTCCTGAAAAAAAATACTGGCTGCCAGCCCATACAACTCTCCTGAGCAAAACACCAGCCCCCAACCCTCCCTCCCCAACTGTCCTGAGCAAAATACTGGCCACCAACACACACCCCCGACCCCAACTGTCATGAGCAAAATACCAGCCACCACCACCCACGACTGCCCTCAGAAAAACACTGGCCGTGACACCCCCCCTCCCCGACTGTCCAGCGCCAAACACCGTCTGCCAGCCTCCCCAATTGTCCTGAACCAAACACCAGCTGCCAGTGCCCCCCAACTTCCCTGAGCAAAACATTGGCCCCCAACCCTCCCCCTCAGAGTGTCCAGAGCAAAACACCATCCGCCAGCCCCCCCATACTGTCCTGAGGCAAACACCAGCCGCCAGCCCCTGCAACTGTCCTGAGCTAAGCACCAGCCACCACCACCCCTCTCCGACTATCCTGAGGAAAACACTGGCTGCCAACCCCTCCCCCCTCAGCCTGTCCTTGGCCAAACACCAGCTGCCAACCCCCACTTCCAACTGTTCTGAGCAAAACACTGGCTGCCAACCCCCACTTCATTGCCCTGAGCAAAACACCAGCCCGCACTGCCCCCCTGACTGTTCTGAGCCAAATGCCAACTGCCAGCCCCCGACTGTCAGTCAGCCCCCCCCAATTGTCCTGAAACAAACATCAGCTGCCAACCCCCCTTCCAGATTATTGTGAGGAAACCACTGGCAACCTACCTGCCCGCAACTGTCCTGAGGAAAACACCAGCCGCCAGCCCCCCAGCAGTACTGACCCAAATACCAGCTGCAAATCCCGCCCCCAATTGTCCTGAGCAAAATACCAGCAACCAACCCCCCCATCTGTCCTGAAGAAAACACCACCCTCCAATGCCCCCCAACTGTTCTGAGCCAAAGACTGACTGCCACCCCCCACCACTGTCCAGCCCCAAACACCATACTCCAGCCCCCCTAATTGTCCTGAACCAAACACCGTCCGCCAGCCCCCACAACTGTCCTGAGCAAAATACCAGCCACCAACCTCCACTCCTGATTGTCCTGAGGAAACTACAAGCCACCAGTCCCCTCCCAACTGTCCTGAAGAAAACATCAGCCCCCAATACCCCCAACTGTTCTGAGCCAAACACCAAACGCCACTCTCCCGAGACTGTCCAGCCCCAAACACCATCCACCAGCCACCCTAATTATCCTGAACCTTAGGAAAAGGCCTGGGTAGAGACCGTCAAATCGTCAAAGTCAACGAATGGCTACGCAGGTGGTGTCGGAGAGAAGGCTTTGGATTCTTTGACCATGGGATGGTGTTCCAAGAAGGAGGAGTGCTGGGCAGAGACGGGCTCCATCTTACGAAGAGAGGGAAGAGCATCTTTGCCAGCAGGCTGGCTAACCTAGTGAGGAGGGCTTTAAACTAGGTTCACCGGGGGAAGGGGACCAAAGCCCTGAGGTAAGTGGGAAAGCGGGATACCGGGAGGAAGCACAGGCAGGAATGTCTGTGAGGGGAGGGCTCCTGCCTCATACTGGGAATGAGGGGCGATCAACAGGTTATCTCAAGTGCTTATATACGAATGCACAAAGCCTTGGAAACAAGCAGGGAGAACTGGAGGTCCTGGTGATGTCAAGGAATTATGACGTGATTGGAATAACAGAGACTTGGTGGGATAACTCACATGACCTGTCATGGATGGTCATAAACTGTTCAGGAAGGACAGGCAGGGCAGAAAAGGTGGGGGAGTAGCACTGTATGTAAGGGAGCAGTATGACTGCTCAGAGCTCCGGTACGAAACTGTAGAAAAACCTGAGTGTCTCTGGATTAAGTTTAGAAGTGTGTGCAACAAGAGTGATGTAGTGGTGGGAGTCTGCTATAGACCACCGGACCAGGGGGATGAGGTAGATGAGGCTTTCTTCCGGCAGCTCACGGAAGCTACTAGATCGCATGCCCTGATTCTCATGGGTGACTTTAATTTTCCTGATATCTGCTGGGAGAGCAATACAGCAGTGCATAGACAATCCAGGAAGTTTTTGGAAAGCATAGGGGACAATTTCCTGGCGCAAGTGCTAGAGGAGCCAACTAGGGGGGGCGTTTTCTTGACCTGCTGCTCACAAATCGGGTAGAATTAGTGGGGGAAGCAAAAGTGGATGGGAATCTGGGAGGCAGTGACCATGAGTTGGTAGTTCAGGATCCTGACGCAGGGAAGAAAGGTAAGCAGCAGGATACGGACCCTGGACTTCAGAAAAGCAGACTTCGACTCCCTCAGGGAACGGATGGCCAGGATCCCCTGGGGGACTAACTTGAAGGGGAAAGGAGTCCAGGAGAGCTGGCTGTATTTCAAGGAATCCCTGTTGAGGTTACAGGGACAAACCATCCCGATGAGTCGAAACAATAGTAAATATGGCAGGCAACCAGCTTGGCTTAACGGTGAAATCCCAGTGGATCTTAAACATAAAAAAGAAGCTTACAAGAAGTGGAAGGTTGGACATATGACCAGGAAAAAGTATAAAACTATTGCTCGGGCATGTAGGAATGAAATCAGGAGTGCCAAATCGCACCTGGAGCTGCAGCTAGCAAGAGATGTCAAGAGTAACAGGAAGGGTTTCTTCAGGTATGTTGGCAATAAGAAGAAAGCCAAGGAAAGTGTGGGCCCCTTACTGAATGAGGGAAGCAACCTAGTGACAGAGGATGTGGAAAAAGCTAATGTACACAACGCTTTTTTTGCCTGTGTCTTCACTAACAAGCTCAACTCCCAGACTGCTGCGCTGGGCATCAGAGCATGGGGAGTTGATGGCCAGCCCTCTGTGGAGAAAGAGGTGGTTAGGGACTGTTTAGAAAAGCTGGACGTGCACAAGTCCATGGGGCCGGACGAGTTGTATCCGAGAGTGCTGAAGGAATTGGCGGCTGTGATTGCAGAGCCATTGCCCATTATCTTTGAAAACTCTTGGCGAACGGGGGAAGTCCCAGATGACTGGAAAAAGGCTAATGTAGTGCCAATCTTTAAAAAAAGGAAGAAGGAGGATCCTGGGAACTACAGGCCAGTCAGCTTCACCTCAGTCCCCGGAAAAATCGTGGAGCAGGTCCTCAAAGAATCAAACCTGAAGCACTTACATGAGAGGAAAGTGATAAGGAACAGTCAGCATGGATTCACCAAGGGAAGGTCATGCCTGACTAATCTAATCGCCTTTTATGATGAGATTACTGGTTCTGTGGATGAAGGGAAAGCAGTGGACGTGTTGTTCCTTGACTTTAGCAAAGCTTTTGACACGGTCTCCCACAGTATTCTTGTCAGCAAGTTAAGGAAGTATGGGCTGGATGAATGCACTATAAGGTGGATAGAAAGTTGGCTAGATTGTCGGGCTCAACGGGTAGTGATCAATGGCTCCATGTCTGGTTGGCAGCCGGTGTCAAGTGAGTGCCCCAGGGGTCGGTCCTGGGGCCGGTTTTGTTCAATAGCTTCATAAATGATCTGGAGGATGGTGTGGCTTGCACTCTTTAGCAAATTTGCGGATGATACTAAACTAGGAGGAGTGGTAGATACGCTGGAGGGCAGGGATAGGATACAGAAGGACCTAGACAAATTGGAGGATTGGACCAAAAGAAATCTGATGAGGTTCAATAAGGATAAGTGCAGGGTCCTGCACTTAGGACGGAAGAACACAATGCACCGCTACAGACTAGGGACCGAATGGCTCGGCAGCAGTTCTGTGGAAAAGGACCTAGGGGTGACAGTGGACGAGAAGCTGGATCTGAGTCAGCAGTGTGCCCTTGTTGCCAAGAAGGCCAATGGCATTTTGGGATGTATAAGTAGGGGCATAGCGAGCAGACCGAGGGACTTGATCGTCCCCCTCTATTCGACATTGGTGAGGCCTCATCTGGAGTACTGTGTCCAGTTTTGGGCCCTACACTACAAGAAGGATGTGGATAAATTGGAGAGAGTCCAGCGAAGGGCAACAAAAATGATTAGGGGTCTGGAACACATGACTTATGAGGAGAGGTTGAGGGAGCTGGGATTGTTTAGTCTGGGGAAGAGAAGAATGAGGGGGGATTTGATAGCTGCTTTCAACTACCTGAGAGGTGATTCCAGAGAAGATGGTTCTAGACTATTCTCAGTGGTAGAAGAGGAGAGGACAAGGAGTAATGGTCTCAAGTTGCAGTGGGGGAGGTTTAGGTTGGATATTAGGAAAAAAATTTTCACTAGGAGGGTGGTGAATCACTGGAATGCATTACCTAGGGAGGTGGTAGAATCTCCTTCCTTAGAGGTTTTTAAGGTCAGGCTTGACAAAGCCCTGGCTGGGATGATTTAATTGGGGATTGGTCCTGCTTCGAGCAGGGGGTTGGACTAGATGACCTCCTGAGGTCCCTTCCAACCCTGATATTCTATGATTCTATGCTGCTATGATTCAAACGGGAGGAATGGGATCTGATCG